TTTATAAATACATACTGTTCTGATTGCACATAATAGGATGACTTGGGAAGGCAACAAATGTTGTTCTGGGGATAAGGAAAGGCAAAGCAATTCAAAGTCAGGGAAAATGGCAGGAAACCAAAGCTCTATGAGCATTTCTAAAACTAACCATAAAGCCCAGTGCTGGGAGGTAACTGTGACACTGACGACCCTTTGAGTGCTGGCTCTGCCAACAGCATTCCCAACGATGGCGATATGAGCTTAGAGCAAAGGGCATCAGAGCAGAAAAAAGCTTCAAGGCTATATTTAGAGTTTTTGCATTTGACCAGGGTGGGTTCAGATTCCCAGGACAACGTATCCTGGAAGACGCATTTATTTTATAAGCAAGCAGTTTGCATTTACCAGGTGGATTATCAGATTCTCTGAGCAGGGATACTGGTGGAAGATCCAAATTATTAAACAATGTTCATAACTTGTCCAAAAAAGGAATGAAAAAATTCCTTTACTTGGAGCAGAGGACTCCCGGGGGGGGGGTTCATATTTCAATAGGTTTTTTGATGTCAGTGGGATAATAGGCCAACATTAAAAAAAAAAAATGCAAAGCCCTTGATTCTACATTTCAATTTTTTTGTTTTAATTCCTGCCTGCCAACTTGCTCAACTCACCTTATTTGAATGGATGCTACTTAATGCGGCAGGCACTGATTCAAAAAAAATTGGCTTCTCTGGATCTAGGTTCCCACAGTATTTCATTGCTCTTATCAAGGAAGCTATAAGAAAAGCACAAATGATATAAGGATACACAGAGCAGCGGAAGGATCGTGTTCAGTGTTAGCCAAGGCTACTCCCTTACCTGTGCAGTGGGCGAATGACACATCCACACTCTTGCTGTTACTGTCCGTGTAAACCTGGAAGAGTTGAAAAAGTACACCCACAATTAATTCAGGATAGCTGGCAGGAAGGAATAAGACAGGCTTTTAGAGGAAAGGACAATTTCTAGTTAAAAAAACAAAGCCAGCGTCTATGATGTCAGACCACCAGGGGGCGGCATTGTCACACCGGCAGGCACACGGGCACGTTTCTGAAAGAGGCTGTCTCAGCACACCAAGATGAGTGCAGCAGGGCATTTACCTTTCATGTAACTAACTTTGTTTAATATTTTCCATTCCATTTAATAAAAATAAAAACACCACCTTTCCTTCCCTGTAAGAATGACATAAAATTGTTCTCCACCGTCTTTTATTGGAAGTCAAGGACCCATAAATGAATACAATGAAAATTGCTGACCTACTGCTTACTTTAATATTTTTCAACAATTCGTAAATATTCATGAATTCTCTAAACCACACCCATGGACAGTAAGCTGAGAACCTCATTATAATCGAAGCAAAGTCTGATTGCCCAGCTTCCATTTTTAGGGTCGTAACTAATTTGCTTGGTGTACTATAGAGTCTTGCCTCCTTTAAGTCCTAGAAAAATCTCAAGTAGTAACCACCTTACTGAAGGCCCTGATTTTAAATTTGTCCAGACCAAAGTCAGCTCATGAAGCTCAGTAAAAGTAAATCTAGAAGTTTTAGTGACAGCAGGACGGACTTGGTCATGTAACAGTGATGTAGCTTACATATACAATGTAGAGACGTGCATTTAAGATACATTCTAAGAGTATGTGTGATACACTCCCAAATGTCCCTTCTGTTCTTCCAGCAATAAGCAGTTCTTCCTATGGCAGGGAAATTGTGGAATAATAGATGTATCACTCTGAGCACAGTAAATAAACAAGCAAACAAACAAATAAACAATACATGGACTGGGATTTTTCCATTGAATGCATGGCTCCTGTTTTTGTAAGTTAAAATGACAATTCAAAGTGATCTGTCAGTGTTGTACTTTTTCTTAAGTTCGGTGAAGAATGAGCACATTGCTATGGTTGGTTTGTTGATGCTGATCAACATAGTCTCCAGTTTGCCAGCCTCTCTGGTATCCTAAGTAGAAGAAGAAATTAAACTCACTCTACTGTCTCCAACCTGTAGCTCTTAGGAGAATATTCCTTATACCAAAGCGACTAAGAGAATAATCCGGGGAGTGTTATTAGAAAGCAGGAAGACATGCATCATCAAAGACACTCTGTGGCTCTTTACCCTGGACCCTCTTTCAGGATGGCAGAAATTAAGAAATAGGATTAATTGCAGTGATATTATTTTAAGAAGTGACTTTCGCCAAAATGAGAACAAACAATAAAAGCTAGCATCACTGAGCACTTACTAAATTCTAGAAACTTTTTCACATGCTTTATATGCAATATGTCATTTCTAAGAGCTTCACAGCGTGATGAAGTGGGCATTCCTACTTCTAGTTTGCAGAAAAGCAAACAAATACTTAAGCCCAGCTCCTAGAACTGGTTAGATAGCTGAGATTTGGATCCAGAGTTTGTCTATCTTTAAAGTCTATGTTCTGAACATACAGCATGATTTACTGTAACTGTGGTGAAATAAACCAGATAGTAATAAGGAAATTTAAACGGGAGCTCTGATACAAGACGGCTGGTTTTGTACATACAGATGAAAAACACCAGGCCAAGGGCAAATGTCATTTTCTGCCAATTTAAAAATAAAATGGATTGGTTGACTTATTCCTTCATGCCCTTGTGTAGTATTTTAAAACCATTAAGATGAATTTTTAAAAGTCCTTTCTCAGCACGCCCAATACCTAGAAGATGATTTGAATTCCTCTGAATTTTCAACCTTAGGCCCTAATCTCAGTGGGAATAAGTAACCATTTCCTCCTTTTCACTAATTCTAAGTCCTGATTTGCAATATCTAGAGAGGGCGGCTGATAAATGCTGGAGCAAATTCACAAACAAACTCAAAATACAGGCAAACAAAAATACATAACCGGCTCTTCCCAGTAAAAGGACAATCCTGGTCTAGCGTTTCTTAAAACATGATCCTTGGACCACCCACGGGTGTTTAAAATGAAGATTGCTGGGCCAGAACCGGGACTCAGAAGACTGAGATTTTTCACCTCCCAGCTTTACTGAGTTATAACTGCCACGCAGCACTGTGTAAGTTTAAGGTGCGCAGCATAATGATGTACCTTACATGCATCAAGAAATGATCACCACAGTAAGTTTAGTGGACGTCCATCATCTCATATAGATACAGAATTTTTAAAATAGAAAAGAGATACTTTTTTCTTGAGATAATAACTTAGGATTTACTCTCTCAACAACTTTCACACATAACATACAGCAGCCTTGATTATCTTTATCATGTTGTACATCACATCCCTGCTACTGATTTATTTTATATCCGGAAGTCTGTGCCTTTTCACTGCCTCCATTCAGTTCCCCCTCCCCTCACCCCACGCCTCTGGTAGGCACAGATCTGGCCTCTCTTTCTATGAGCTTGTTTGTTTGTTTGTCTGTCTGTCTGGGGAGTACAGCTGACCTACAACACTCTGCTAGTTCCTGTGACACATCACAGTGACGTAGTATTACTTTATCTTTTGAAATGATCAGCCTGAGTCCAGTTACCATCAGAAGATTGCGTTTCATTTCATTTTATTTTTTATTGAAGTATAGTTGATTTACAATGTCGTACAGCACAGTGATTCCGTTATACATATATATTCTTTTTCATATGTTATTACAAGTTATTAAATATAGTTCCATGTGCTCTACAGTAAGGCTTTGCTATTTATCTCTTCTGTATGTAGAAGTTTGTATCTGCTAATCCCAAACTCCCAATTTATGCCTCCCCCTTCCTTCCCCTTTGGTAACCATAGGCTGTTTTCTACATCTGTGAGTCTCTTTCTATTTTGAAAATAAGTTCATTTGTGTCTTCTTGTTAGAATCTACATATAAATCCTATCATATGATTTTTGTCTTTCTCTGTCTGACTTCATGATTATTATGATAATCTCTAGGTGCATCCATGTTGCTTCAAATGGCATTATTTCATTCTTTTTTATGGCTGAGTAGTAGTCCATTGTTTATCCAGTCATCTGTCAATGGACATTTAGGTTGTTTCATGTCTTGGCTATTGTAAATGATGCTGCTGTGAACACCAGGGTGCATGTATCTTTTTGAATTGCTGTTTTCTCTGGATGTATGCCCAGGAGTGGGATTGCTGGATCATATGGTAAGTCTATTTTTAGTTTTTAAGGAATCTCCATACTGTCCTCCATAGTGGCTGCACCAAACTACATTCTCACCAACACTGGGAGGGTTTCCTTTTCGCCACACCCTCTCCAGAGTTTAAGATTACATTTTAAACAAGCTCCCCAGGTGACCTTTATACATACAGGTTTAACAGTGCTCTTCTAGACCTTGGCAACACAGTAAATAAAAATGCTAAACACGAGAAGCCTTCCAGTGATGAGGGACTATCTGTTTACAGTCCAGATTTAGACGCAAGAAAATTATTCAGGTTAAACCCTATGCCAAACTGTGTGAAGCTTTTATGGTGAGCAACAAGAAAACAAAAGCATATTACATGTGGAAAAGGGCGACTTACTTACCAAAAATAGCCACTAGCCTTAAGGGCTAGGATATTTAAAACTCAATTCTTTTTTGCATAATTTCTTTCTTTTTTGAATGTCTGCTTATTCGGAAACAAAATAACCCCCTCCTTTTTACAGAATGAATACACTGAGATCCACCAGGTTAGATGCTGCCCAATACCTCCCAGCAGGTGTGACAGAGCTGACACTGCACTCCGACTGTCACATACTATGTGGCTTCCCTCCGCATAGGCCCACCATACCTTCAGGGGAAGTTGGACTAAAGCTGATCTTTGTAATATCTTGAGTTTGAAAGGTGGAACATTTCAAATTTAAAATATAAATGGAGATACAGTTATGCAACAGCATAAGGAAACAAATCAAAATCTATGTGAGATCTTCTAAAAACTACTCATCTTAACTCTTTGAAAGTCAATGTCTAATTCTTGACTTCCTGCCATGATGGGTAACTAACAGAAAGACTGTCCCATCCTCCATAAAAAACTGGACAAAACATACAAATTGTTCTCAGGCAATGGGAACAGACAGCAGAGGGCTGAGTTCTCTGGGAGACAGAAAACAGATGAGGCGAGCTCTCTGATCAGCTCAGCTCTCTGTTGCAAAGCAGTTTCTGGGCCATGGCATGACAATGGGGCACCTGAGCAAAACGCAGCCACTTCCCTGAGCTAAGCAGACAGAACTAGCATTCAGGGAGGACTGAGTGAAATTTGTAGGGTCAAACAATGGAAAGGAAGTTTTTGGTTGAAGGCAAAGCTTCACATAGCAGGAGGTCAGGGTAAGAGAACCCCCAGGGAGCAAACAGCCAAAGTCAAGGTGAACTGAGTTCCATGCAGCAGAGGCTGGTGGAGAACTGAGGACAGTTGAGAAATGGACATTGCCCGATCTTCAAGATCTTTGCCCATATTTAGGGTATTGAGAGAGAGAATAAGTAGAAATAAGAAAGGGGGTGCATTCCTTGTTGACTTGGTAGTCACTCTAGGAAAAAGAGGAAAAAATCCAGAAGTTGTCTGAGTTTTCCTTGAATTGGCAAAATTAGGTGTGCTATCTAAAGAAATGGAGACTTCTGTTTTAAAGAAAAAATAGTTTTCTTTTTTGCAGCCAGGATCGTGGAGACCCCATGGAGATCATGGGGTGGAGAAGTAAACACCATCCCTCAAGAGAACCGAGAAAAGCCTGCACTGGCATTATTTCAGAGACCAGGAGTCATACCAGGTCAAACTGCGCCCATCCACAATGTGACAGACAGTGTCCTGCCATCACCAGGCCACTCGCTCATGGAGGGGACTCTCCTCCTTCCTTCTAGAAGCCTGTGATCTGACAGCCCAGCATGTGCAGTGCGCACTGCATCTCGAGTCTATGCTCAGTTCTCTCTGACCGCCCCATGTGACACCCACCCATACCCACCCCTACTGGCAACCTGATGGGATCTCCTGAAAATGAATCTACAGCGGTGGGAGGCAGAAAGTTCTATGTCCTTTGGGCAGAATGGATGAGATGAGCATTGAAGTGAGCAGGGTCAGGACCCCAGAGCTGAGAGGCTGATGAAAACCCTGTTACTAAAAAGGGAAGGAATCAGTCCAAACACAAGCAGTACAAATACCTCAACAAGCATGGAGACTCCAGAAGAGTCAAAAAAGGTCAATCCACTGCAGTCCAGGATTAAAGAGCACTTTTCGTTCAGGCAGGGCTGCGTAGCTTCTTCTGCAGGGGGAGCAGAGAGCTGAGTTAGGGAGAATTCCTAGAGACTTTTGCTGCTAATTTTGTTGACATTGGGAAAATTAACAGTGGCCTCATGTTTAACAGGACCAAATTCCAGAAACACTTTTTAATTTGTAACATTTTTCAGTTAATTACTAATTATTTTTGAACTCTTTGAGTTTTGATCATTCAGATGTTATTTCAGGTAATTATTAGATAACTCAGATGGGAAGATGGGATAGGTTAATTACCAGTATCATTTCACAGATAAACAAACTGTGAAAGTTTGTTTGATCGGCAAGTTTAAATGATTCTGAGAGGATACCTGGCAAGTTAGTGCTAAACACAGCCTAGAAATGAGGCTTTTCCACAGTATCACACAGTCTCCCTCATGGGTCTGCCCAGCAGTAGAGTCCTATTTTGTGGTGCCTGAAGTTTATACAATTTTTGAGTCACACTTCAAGGAAAAGATATTCAATCTATCTTGTAATAACCTTTAATGACAAAGAATATGACAACAAATATGTATATATTTGCATGACTGGGACATTATGCTGTACACAAAAACTAACACATTGTAACTGACTATATACTTCAATTAAAAAAAAGTTACAGGAAAAAAAAGTCCATGGTTTCCCTCCATGGTGGCTACAGAAAAATGGAAATACGGTTGCTTCTCAAGTAACTTTGAGGAAGTATGAGGGAAATCAGGCATTTGTAAAAATTGCTGCTGAGAGGTAAAAACAGGTGAGCAGAAAATACAGAAAAAATGTTGAACATTTATACAGAGCTGTAACTGTTAGGAAAAGCAGAAATGCTAAAAGTAATTTTTAATATATTTTAAAAGTAGAATTCAGGTATAGGATTTGTGTCCAAGTTTCATCTTTAAATCTGTATTCATATTTATTAATTGAAATAACCATAAAGCATGAGTCTGCTCAAGAAATTTTTTGAAATGTAGTGAATGATACAAATGTGAAAGATCCTATTTCTTTCTTCTAGGAACTTATCCTTGAGCACCAAGGGATAAGATTGGTAAATAATATATGAATAAAAATGAAAAAGAATGGAAATTTACAAGGAGACATCTCCTGGGAGCAATCAAGGAAGGCTTCCTGCAAGAGTAGCCGTGATGGATATATGTAATTACAAACAGTAGAAACAATATGGAGCTGTAAGCATTCAATCATATGGGCAGCTTTAATTAAACGCTGATAGTTTGAAATCTCAGACTCCTCCTGTTCCCATTCCACCAACGTTTACTAAGGACCTACTACATGCCAGGCACTTCAGTGCTGTCTCCCATGAGAAGGAGGGCTAAGGGCAAGTACAGATTCAGGCTTTGCTACCATGGGCTGAAAATGATTAATTAGAACCTCAAACAAAATGGAAAGTGACCACAATTTAGCTCATCAAATGGCCACTCGGTAGTGATCATTATCATTCAATACTTGCCTAACTAAGCATAGGACCCACCCCTACTATGCAAGGGCTCTTATTTATATCCTCAGATATAATGTGCCCTTGCTCACTATCAGAGATGGAGGGGGGTTTAAGATCACAGGAAAAATTAAAACATGTACCCTGTCCTAAGCAAAGATAAACAGTGGAACGCTGATACATATTATTCCTTTTATCTCCTAGTCGCGTAAACACATGCACGCATGCGTGGGCGCACACACACTCAGGTTGGTACTATATTAATTAGATAAGAGATACTTTATTCCACTTTGTTTAGAATTACAGAGGCAGAATTACTAGATAAATATTAAAAAGAGTTGCTAAGACATCGGCTCATTATTTATCTGGGATGTGTATTCCCTTGTAAATTTTTTATGATTCATAAATATATTTTTATCCAATTTGGAAACATTTTACTGACTTTTCAGAGCATGAGAATTTCTCACTCACAATTAAACATCAGATAAGCTTCCTTATAAAAAGTTTAATAATTCATATGATATATATATACATAAAATATATATAATGGATTTAGGTATTTTTTTACAAAGTTAGATATAAAAAGCTTTAGAAAAGTAATCATGTTTGCAATGTACCACGGAGTTCGAAATTTAAAGGATTCCTATGCAGATACTACTGAAACATCTGTTTTAGAAAATAAAATGTATGGTTTTTAAAGGACAGCTCAGAGGAGCTCTTCTGACATTTTCTCAGCAATGTCAACTGTGTACATATCTTTTCAGTTCCATGTTTAATGAGAGCATGTTGGTAACTTGGAATCAGTCCAAGGAGAAATATTTACACCATGGAAACTGGCAAATGCAACAGGTAAGTGCTTCTCCACCCCTCCACACCACATTCTCCACTCCAAGAGCTGTTATTAAAGATTTACCAGCACATCACTACTTCAACCTGGGTACTCTTATTAAACACAAAGAAAATAATCAGTGATTTAAAAAAAATGGCTTGGATTAAATAAACAACCTAAACCTCTGACATCTTTAAGAATAGATTTTAAAATGACAGTGATGATACCAGTTGATAACAAAATGAGTAAAGTCTTTTTTTGCGTCTCCTTATACTGTGCTGTTCTTAACAAATGACATGTCTTTTACAATATAGTACTTATTTCAAAATGCACTAAATCTAAAATCCTTAGTCCAAAAAATGTATGTAAAAAAAGTTATCATTAATACCTAATCCCCTCAAATGAAATAAGTTATGAATTTTTTGAGATCTTTAAGCCTCACTCTTTATTTACTAGAGAACATATTTGTCATTGGCAATATTCAATATAATTCAATATATATTCAACATAATCGAAAAATATTAGCAGTTGTTTTATTTAGGAAATGTCAATGCATTGTGTTTCATGAAAGAAGCTTCATAAATTATTATCTACAACTTTAAAGTGATGGCATGAGTTCTGTCATCCCCACTCCTTAGCCAGCTAGACATGGCTAATTATTTCTGGTACTTTCTTCCACTTAGGTCAAAGAAGATCTTAGAAATTTTATAAATTCAGTGCTTCAGGAAATTTCATAAGAAACGTACTTGTCGATCTGAACCCAATATTCCAGTGGAAAAACTGCTTATAAGTTATTTAGAGAGATTGATCACTAGATATAAATGACTAGGTAAAGGGTAAATAATAATAAATAAATGATGGTAAAGGGTACAGAAAATTATTTAAGAAACAAGTTGTTTTTTCTTTTCTATCCTATCATGCTTGTTTCACTTGTAAATGACACTTGCCATTCTCTGTTTTTTGGGTAATTATTTCATAATTGAAGTGATGATACATTGTTAACTATGAAAATGTTTGGGGTTGATCAACAGCAAAACAGAACATTTCCTTCCATTGTTTCAGAGTGTTCTTGCTTTGTCTTTCATTTTTACATCTGAGTTTTCCCTTTCTTGTTCCTTTAATCAAAATACGTGCACATTTTCAGACCACAGAAAACAAAATAAAATAAAGCAAAATGAAAGAACTGTGCCATGTAGTTGTGGATAATAACTTAAGTAACTTATTTTAAGAGAAGCAATTCATGATTTTTTTTTAAAAAAAAGACATCCTTGATGGTAGTTACCAATTCACTGAAATGAAAATTTAAATACAATGAACATTCCTGAAATCTTTCCAAAATAAGTTAGGTTTTCTTGTACACAGTATCCTCTCAGTTCTGCCACTGTTCTGCTTTTATGCCTATAACCTTGTGTTCTAAGCCTCTGAGTAAATTAACCAGTGCAATAAAAATCACATCGTTGTAGAAAAGAGGAAATTGAAAGCACAGCTAATATCTTGCCTTAAGCAAAATGAGGTAAGCCTGGAGCACGTGCAAAGGAGACAACTACTTAACGCCCACGTGGGGTGTGGGAAACCATGGGCTTCACCTACAAACACAACATTTCAGAAAGAAGTTAACCATCAGGTGTGGGTGGGCAATTAACTCCAGACTGAGCAAGCGAGCTCTTCCCTGTGGAATATTCATTAACTCCTTTAATTAAAAAGTATTCATCATTGCATCATTTAGCAATGATTCTTTTATACTTCAAAGGGTTCTTGACAGCCTGTGTGTCACTCATAGGGTTTTAAAAGAAGGCATTTTCTGTTGATATTGAGTAACTGTTGAGAAGCAGATTTATATCTCTAGCTTCTCAAGGAAACAAGGATATCAGAAATAATTAGGACAAACCAAAACACTGTCTGTGCAAAACACGTGCACATATGATTGAGCGTCTCTCTTATTCATTCATTTATTCAGGCAGGCAGTCATCGACTTACAGAAGTATCGGGTGCTTACTCCAAGCACTGTCCTGAGAAAAACAAACAGAATGATGGACAAGAGAGATGATGGTCCCTTCCCTGAAGAGGTTCACAGCCAAGCTAGGCAGCCAGTCAGCTGAACTAGTAATCTGAACTATCAGAAAGGCTGGAAAAGTCCTGCAGGAAGTGCTAAGGAGATACAGCAGTGAGCTGGCATGGGAGGCAGAGTAATGGCCCTGGTGATGTCTATGTCTTCATCCCTGGAACCTGTGGGATAGGTTGCTTTATATGAAAAAACAAATTTTGCAGATTTGATTAAATTAAGGTTCTTGAGGGGATTACCCTGGATTATTGGCAGGGGAGCATGTTCCTATGTAATCACAAGAAGGAGATGTGGTGATGGAAGACGAGGTCAGAGAGAGATCTGAAAATGCCAACACTGCTGATTTGAAGATGGGGGGAGGCGTCTACGGCCATACACCCTGAACACGCCCGATCTCGTCTGAAGACAGGGGTCAAACAATGTGGATGGCCTCCAGAAATTCAGAAGGGCAAGGAAATGAAAGGATCCTCCCCTAGAGCCTCCAGGAAAAATACAGTCCTGCCAAAACCTTTATTTTCTCCCCTAAGGTTCATGTCAGCCTCTGTCCTCTAAAACTATAAGATGATACATTTGTGTTGTTTTTAGCCACTAAGTTCGTAGCAATTTGTAACAGCAATAGGAAACCAACACACCTGGGCTGCTGGTTTGGGGAGCTGGATGAGGGGGTGATTTTGGACTCCAGGATCCGTGATGGCAGAAATCATGCCTGTTTTCTTCATCCTTGGATATATAGCACCTGACAGCGCGCCCACGACTCAGGGGATGTTCAGTAAATACAAGGAATATTTGTTGAGTGAATGAGGACATTAATACAAGAAGGAAAGGAAGAGTGGGACCTGTAAACTGAGACCTGGGGGATCATGTGACGTTAAGCAGGTGAGAAGGTGGTGGAGGTGATCCTGAAAAATCAGAACGCTAAGAGGGACACAGACAGAGTATCTCTTGGTAATGGCACAATGCGACCAGTGTTGTGGAACACAGCCTACCGAACATGGTGATGGAAGAACTTTTTACATTTGAGCAATTTTTGCTTTCTTTCAGAGAAAGATGAGATGACTTCCATCTTATTATTTACATAACTTGTACATATATTTTGATTATTCAGCCAAACCTTCCTCTTCTGTAGACTCTCAAAGAGGCGGTACTTTTTCACTCTCCTCCCTCTCTCCCAACCCCTTGCTCAGCTAACATCTCACTTTGCGTTAGTTGCTTCCAGATCCCTTCAGCGGTCCCCAAAACCCACAGATGTTCCTGGATGGTCTTCCAGTAGCTTAAATTCATCATCCCTCCAGAATAAACGTTCCTTTCCTTTTAGCTACCCTCCTGGGTTTATTGCCCCAGTTTGAGAGTTTCAAAGCTTCAAATCATGATTTGTAGTGCCCTCTCCCTTCCCCCAATACCAAAACAGTGCTAGCTGTGTTCAATACATGTGGAAATCTCTTTTAAGTCCATCTTCTATCTCCATTTTCATAAGCTTGCAAAGAAAGCAGAGGAAGATGGCAGTGTCTGAAGCCTCCTTTTCTCTGGATTAGCATCAACCCTCCCTTCTTCTTGCGTGCACCCCTGCAGACTACACCCAGCTCAGAACTCCCAAATTTCAGCTTCAAGCACCCTTCCTGTACACATGCGTGCCTTCAGCAGGGACTCGAGTTCCTCCTCTGTCCCCAACCAACCGCATGATCCTGAGCAACTTTTCTATGGCCTCAACTTCTTCCTCAGTACAATGAAGAATGTCCTATTACCTACTTGAAAATGGAAATCTATTTGCCAATTCTCTGTTTCAGTTA